GGTCATAATCAATGTAAGCGAAGGGTCCTAGGATCTCTTTTCGGACTGCAACCAGGCTCTGCCAGTACTATTCTTTTCTAGAACACACACACACACAAGGTGATACTAAAGGCTACACGCACACACCCTCGCAGTAATATCATTACGTCCTGTGACAGCTTTCGAGAGATGGCTCTCATCAGGAGTTACATTAACTAGTAATCAGGGCCTCTATTATATTATAACTAAAACGATGTTAAAACTTGATTATCTAAGATCTGCTTAATAAAAAGTAGCTGCATTGGCTCAACGTAACTTAGCGGTCAGCCAATGAGAGAAAACACGTGCCGTATGATCGAGTTTGGAGTGTCTTTCCTGGTGCAGTGGTATTGGAAGTGGTGCTGCTGGGATTAGTAGTGACGGGGATGGTGCACGCAGTTGAGGGAGAGTTGTAGGTACTCTTCAAACTATGTAAGACACATCATTTTTGTTACGCGGATCTTAGCTAACTTCTTTAATAAAATAATTGATTTCGGTAAAGTAATGCCTGACACTATTAATTATATTATTGAAATGTAGTGATTATATAGCCTTTGATTGTGTTTCATAATTGACATTGACAGTAGAAACAAATAAATGTTTTGTTTTATTTAGTTTGATGAATTTTTAACATATTTAATAAATATATTTTAGATTCCTCCATTTCTTCCCCACAAAAAATTGAATCTTATGTATTTACGTGCGCGCAAAATGATTAAATACTGGTACATAGTTTTTCCTTTACGTATCAAAATATATGGATTGAATTAAATTTGATTACAGCATACTGTACACTACAGTATACTGATATAATGTTTTGCATTTTGAGCACAACCAATTTAGCATACGCCAAATTAAATAAAGTTATTAACTTAAAAAAATAGAAAATAATTTCGCTCGGTTTAAGAAAAATAGTAATTTAATTTAACGGTTCTAATCGAAGGGAATTAGACCTCATAAAGAACGCCGGCCACTTGTTCCTGTCGTGGACAGCTGCTTTGTAGACTGGGGAGGCGAAAAATTCCTAATTTGTTCCTTCGAGAAAAAGCAATAATCGACTGTCTGGGCCGGAGGCTCATATTAATTTGGATTTTATAATGTACATACCAACGTTCGAAATAAACCGCTGGCAACTTTCCAGACAATGTAACAGTATCGAAGCTATTAGGCTTTAGTTGTTGGTTCAGTATTTTATGCGTAAAAAGAGGGATAAGAATTATATGTATTTACAGTGCTGAAGATGACCAAAATTTTCTCTTTAATAGATATTATACATACATAGCATCACGCCTGTAATTCCAACATGGGTAAACAGAGCAAAGTATGAGCTATTTGGATGACGCTAAGCAAAAAAAAAGGTTTTATATGGAAAATTTCGGAAGAGGTAATTAACTCGCTAATGTATCTGTCGAAGTGTACATCGAGCCTTGTCATCATATACTGTTTTATAAGGATTAATTAGGATTAAATAAATAAATAAGTACGGTCTAGACCATTGCAGATAAAATCCCAAACTCGCATCGAATAAGTTGCTGCTTTTTACGACATTCGAGTGAAACAAAGCAGGAGATGGGCAGCAGCGTCTTTCTAATAACGACTAAAAAAACTTACTAACGTAAGATGGTAGCTTTGTGCTGCAGGGTTTCGTTTGGTGAGTGTGCCTTTGAACCGGAAAGAGGTGAGTGGATTTCTTATAGGATCAGGGTGACAAACGAGCTCAAAGTTCATTTACATCGTACATATATTAAATGTATGTACACAAAAACAAGAATTGTTTTATTAAGAATAGTGATATATATTCTGTAAATACTAGGATAAGGTACAAGTTAATTCCAGAAGTTACTCGACAAAAAGCAGGAATTCCTTCATGGGGAAATGTATACGCTTTTACAACAAAGTCCATCAAAATACGCAGGCATTATCTATCAAAAGGTTTACAATTTATATCCAACTAAACTGTTTAATAAGGGTTATTGTACTACTAAAGAGTACATGATTGATAATAACTCTGAATATAAGTTACTACCACGACGCTCGCGACCATTAAAGTATATTGTTCTATGCTTACACTTTATGATTGAAGTAAGTACTATTACTGGCGTAGCAGTATTTTTTAGTATCGTCTATATAAACTTATATTGAATAAAAATAATTGTACGGAATTTATGGAGTTTTCAACTTTTTTATTCCCGACGTTTCGGATGCTTTACAGCCGCGATGTCATAGTTAGCCGGGTTACCTTCAGCTTTCGAATATTTTTTTGGTTCGATCTACGCTCATGTACGTTTAGAAAGCTCTGTCTCGCCATCGACGCAAAGTTAGGAGCTTGTATTAAAAAAAGCCAAAATTAGGGGCTTTTTAGGTGCTAATTCGGTACTCTAAATTTTTTACTACAAGGAACTGTGAAATTTGCGTGAGAGTGATTTTGAAAAGCCGTAGGCGCGGAAGAGGAGCAGCTCCCGCCTGCTGTATTAAATCGCAGGCATCTGTACGAGCCGCAGCGGCTGAGGCTGGTCGCCAAAGGCAAAGCTGCGGAGGTGAGCATATGCGCCTGTAATTTGCTGCGCAAGGGCGAAGGGGCTGCACTTCCCGCAGCGCCATAGCCATTGCAGAAGCAACCGTGTCAATATTCCTATGTAAAAAAATGAGTGTTGTTTTTGAAATCACTTAATTATAAAATTAATTCTATACCTGATTTTGATTCTATTCTTATTTTCAGAAGACGTGCTTCTTGTTGTTCCGAATAATGACATCTTTTTATTAGGGGCGCGTTTTTATTGTCTATATTTGTAGCATCTAATTCCTTGCTATTAATATTTATCGTATATCCATTACCGTCACTGCGTTGCAAGCGATACGTTTTGCCAGCAACGCAAATTTCAATAGTTCGTTGCGGTAAACATTTTATAACACCTAATTTTGAAACTAATTATCACGTAAAAAGCCCCTAATTTTGGCTTTTTCTAAATGTAAGTTCCTGACTGAATTGCTGGCGAGACACAACTCGTGTTAGAAAATGAACGATATACTTGCGATGAAAAATCCAAAATCCGATTTCTTTGTTTGAAAGAATGAATGAATTATTGTATTCATCATACACTACACATGCAATATACAGTAATAGGCATCCGACTCAGCGTGTTGCTTTAGCAGTGTTGCCACGTCAATACCGCTGATATTCTATTAGTGACTCCTTGTGAGTGATTACTAAGCAGTTGTGGGACATTTTTAAAGGATAAGGGTGACAAACGAGCACAAAGTCTGGTCCTCTACACTCACCATACGAAACACAGCAGCAGCAGTCGACCCATTCATGCTACAACCAAAATATAGCTGCAGCGTAGCTCAACCACGTATAAATACAATTTTTTACATATTATTTTATTTACATATTTTATTACCATAAAAATAAACAATGAGTAAAATAAAAATCTAATAACATTTATTTAAAAATAAATTAAAAGTATTTAAAGTTACAACTTATACACCTCCCACTGCTGGGCACAGACCTTCTTTCATTTCTGAAAGCGTTTTAAGGCAAGAAAATGTCGTGTTGGTAAACTTCACATCATCGAAATATTTTTTCTTATTTCTTAGATATGCAGGTTTGCGCACGATGTTTTCCTTCACCGCCGAGTACGTGGTAAATGCGCACTTATGATTGCAATTAACAATTTCGTTGGTGCCGGCGTGGATCGAACCCGGCTTGCTCGCGTACTGTGAAATTTACAGCAAACACCTTTTCGGAAATCCATTATATTAAAGTTGTTAGAGTTTAATTTGCTTATTTCCACATAATAAAATAAAATAATGTGTCATGCCTAGTTCGAACAGCCCCTCCCGCTCTCACCTCAATTGTGTGCATTATCCGCGGCACCACCAATCCCAGCACCATAACTCCCAGCACCGTCGATCGTTCCCAACACCATTACACTGGAAACGACACACCATCTTTGATATTACGACGCGTGCTTCACTCCCACACAAGGCATCCTCATGTGAAGTAGCAGATCTTAGCGGTTAGCCACCGTAGAGTCGTAGTTAGCGTCGGAGAGAGAAGGACGGTGGTGCGTCGTATGCTAGGATTGGTGGTGACTGGGATAGTACACGCAATTGAGAGAGGAAACGAAGTGCTCTTCAAACCCGGCAGGACACATCATTTTATTTCATTGCCCGGAAATAAGCAAATTAAGTTCTAACAACTACAATAAATTTACTTACACAAATAATTGGCCGTGTGCTTACTTAATAAATGCCCACTTAATAAAAGTGAAAACAAAAAGTAATAATTATATTATATTTTTTATTAGATAAGGATGACAAACGAGCACACAGTCCACCTGCTGGTAAGTAGTTGCTGTGGCCAATTGACAACTACATCTATCCTCGACTAAGTGTCAAAATACAGATGCGTTGTCACCCGTGAAGACTAAGATGGAATACCGCCTTTCCAGTAACAAGGGTCTCCTGTACTTTTGACTCAACACACGAAACACAGAAGCTTTGAGCTGCTGTTTCACCTTGGTATTCTATGAGAGCGTGGTCCTTCCCCGAGCCGAGAGTCGAGGCGACACATTTGTGCTATAACTAAATTATTAATTTATCTGAAGCATAACACTACAACGTAAAAAAAAATTCATTGTTATTATTTATAACAGTTTATAACAAAAACTTAAGAGTTGGAAGTATTCACCCTTGTTCGACAGTAAACGTGGACAATAACGACTGGAGCCCTGTATACAGTACGCCGAGTAAAGTACAAAAATAAACCAAATAATCATTTGCATCTCCTGCAATGGCTCTAATTATTGAAGTGAAAATACCTTTAGGCATGTTGGGGACTTTTGGGATGGGGAAAAGCACTGAAATGGCGTAACCGTCACGCTCAGTTACATATACAAAATTTACAAAAATAATGTTTACAAATTTGTGAAACTAAGAAGTTTTATTTTTTATTTAGTGGTGTATTTCAATGTACTTACCAGCGTCAGTAGCCATTGGAGCTAGGCCGACACCATCTTTGAACCATCGGGTGACCACAATATGAGTTTTCACCGATGAAGTAGGCGCGCACGTTAGCAACGCTGCACTACCAGCGACTCCATGCGTAGGTTTTATCTCCACAACCCAAGGAACGTCCATCACTACAACAAAAATATATTTTAGTCTAACTCAAATATAATTAAAGATGGATCAGTACACTTTGGTGGAATTTACATATCCTCTACGTATTTTATTTTAGGTACCTTTGCACCCGTCTAGAACTCAACATCAAACGTATGGCTCGAAATTTAGTAGAATAACTCATTTCGCAATGTAGAATCTCAATAAGAACGGACTTTACGATATATATAAACAATTCTCCTCTTGACATTTTATATCTACGTCATTATCATATACTTCTGTGCGCCCAGCGAAGCTAGCGGGTATCAGCTAGTAAGAACTAAAAACGAAACTGTGGATTTGATAGTTCGTAACGGTAATTAGTATTGTGAGATTTAACTCGAACCCTTTGCGTACGTATGTGTTTAATTACTTTAAAATCCATATATTCAACAAGTTTTTGTTTATTTACACAAACATCAATTCTATCAATAATAATATATTTAAAAACCGAATTTCGGTCACGGAGGCCAGTCTCAACGTAGACAAGCCATCTGCACAGAACAGTGTTATAGTGCCCAGTGTTACAGTTGCACTACTATAGTTAGATGAGACGGTAATCCGACAAGAAGAGAGAGAGAGATCAGGATCAGTACCAACAGCTTTACGTGCTTTCCGAGGCCCCGGGGTAAAACACAGCCAACCGTCTGGCTGCCACCGACAACTTATTGAGAACAAAATCCAGTAACTGATATTGACTCGTTCCGGGATTCAAATCTTCTCGACCCAAGTCGGAACTTCATTATCAGCAATTGCGTTTACAACCACAAGACATCCAAAACAATCAATTGAATCTGAATTGTAGCAATAACTGTTAATTTACCACATGCACGGTGGTAAAGAAAAAGCATCGTGAGGTAAATTTGCATAAAAATTAGGATATAAAATTCGGCTACACATACTGTAATTTTTTTATAGGATAAGGGTGACAAACGAGCAAACAGTCCACCTGATCGTAAGTGGATGCTGTGGCACATGAACATCTCCACTTAACCTCGCTTAAGAATCAAAATGCAGATGCGTTGTCACCCTTGAGGACTAAGATGGAATGCCTCGATTCCAGTAAAACGGGTATTCGGTTCTCTACACTCACCATACGAAACACAGCAGCATTAAGCTGCTATTTTACGCTGGTATTCTGTGAGAGCATGGTTCTTCCCCGGTCGTACCGACCCGTTCGTGCTACAACCATAATAGCTGCAGTGTGGCTCTACCACGTGTACCAAATGCGATGAACCATTCCTTCAACTCTGAAAATCATTTGAGAATTTAAAAAAGCCTGTGCCCAGTAGGACATTGGGATGTTACTATCATATACAAGAAAGCCACAGAGATGGAATTTTATTTATTTTAATAAGTACAACTTGAAAAAATACTAGGTCATAAATTAGTCCTCATAAGTAAACTTTTTTATTATACCAGCAACCCGCTTCGCCTAGATCAGATCTATTATTGTAGTGTTATTAACAGGTTTGCTATAGACATCCCGTATTTTATTTTGATAATGTTTTTAATCTAGAAGGCTTGTTAGGGTTAAACTTGAACCTATTACACAGTCTATTAGATGTCGGAAATGCGTTTTGAATTAATTACGACAAAATCAAATTTCACTAAAAAAAATTTGTTTAGAAAAAGAATATTAACAATGCTATATAAACATTACTAATATCTACCTTAACCACTCGTGGTAAGCTTAAATTGCTTATGTTACAAGTGGCTCAAGCCACTAGTCGAATGGTGGATTCGAACCCACGACCTTTTTGAGTTTGCGGTCCGCGCCCTGCCATTAGGCTACTGTCGCTTTTTGAATTTTTTTAATGTGTAATTGTGTTTGTTTAATTTTGTAATTTTAAATTGTGTAATAACTAAACGCAAATATGTCAATTTGTTCTCGTATTATAAAGTAGATATCCGTTACCCGATTTTTTAATTTTGTTTTCAATTTAGGACAATTTCCAGAAGAGTTATCTCGAATTATTTACACTGTTTTTGGATTTTTTTTATGGGAAAAGGATGACAAGCGAGCACACAGTCCACCTGATGGTAAGTGGTTGCTGTGGCCCATAGACATCTGCATCTATCCTCGATTGCGAATCAAAATGAAGATGCGTTGTCAGCCTTGAGGATTAAGATGGAATGCCTCTTTTCCAGTAAAAAGGGTCTTTAAAAAAGGATTTCGGAAATGCCTTTTGAATTAATTACAATAAAAATAAATTTCACTAATAATTGCATATAACGAAACGCAAATATGTCAATTTGTTTTTTTAACACAGATACACTCATAAAAAATTTATCACTCGGAATCAGACAATCCATTTGTAGCTGAAGACGGGACTTATATACAACAAATTGAGTCGCAGTGGAGAGCAGTCAAGAGGTTTTTCAGAAAACAAAATTATAAAAATTTATATTACATTATTTAATTTAATATGAATTTTTATAATTTTAATTTTAATGTAAGGGATGCTCATCGGGAGGCCAGGCTTAAATTTCAAATGTGGGTCTGTTATATAAATATAACAGACCCGCTGTAGGCGAAATATATGAGCAGATGCGCGAGTCACGCAAGGTTTTTAAAAGTAGACTCAAATGGTGCATAAATAACCAAGAGCAAATCAAAATGGATAAAATAGCGAAACTGCGAGCGGATAAAAATTTTGGGAAATTTTGGAAGTCCACTAGCAAACTGGAGATTAAGCCTGGTCTGCCGGCCAGAGTAGATGGGATTAGTGATCTGGAGTGAATTGCAAACCTGTTTATGGAACATTTCAGGGTACGATCGCCGCTGGGCCCCTCCACGGGGATGCCTGGTCCTGAGCCTGGCGTGCAGGTGGATGAGCCTATGCTATTGTTTACGGCTAGCCAAGTCAGAGATGTAATCAAGCGGATGAGCAGGGGCAAATCTCCCGGACATGACGGGCTCAGTATCGAGCACCTAAAACATGCGGATGTACACCTGCCAAGGGTCCTGTCTCCATTGTTCAATATGTGCATTGGACATTCATATCTACCACCGGATCTAATGAAAACCATTGTGGTGCCCATTGTCAAAAACAGGGTAGGTGATATCTCGGACAAGGGCAACTACCACCCTATTTCTCCTGCTACCACGGTGGCCAAAGTACTGGACAGTCTGCTTGATTCATGCTTGCAAAAGTATCTGAAGTTGAATGACGCGCAGTTCGGGTTTAGGCCCGGACTATCCACTGAAAGCGCAATACTAAGCCAAACACACTGTCCAATATTATACAAGCCGGAGGACGCCGGTGTATGCCTGCTTTCTAGATCTCTCCAATGCATTTGATCTGGTTTCGTATGATGTGCTTTGGAGGAAGATGGAGGACAGGGGTGTTCCGGTGGAGGTACAAAGCAAGTAAATTGCGTTAAAGGGGCTGACCAATTGTCCAAGTCGTACAGGCTGGAGTGCGGAGTAAGGCAAGGTGGGCTGTCATCTCCAAAGCTGTTCAACCTGTACGTAAATGACCTCATAGTGGAGCTCAGCAGCATGCGAGTCGGATGCAAAGTGAGTGGTGTTAATGTAAACAATATTAGTTACGCGGATGACATGGTGCTGCTGGGCCCCACTACGAGTGCTATCAGAGAAATGTTGAACGTATGTGAGAGCTTTGCTAAGTCGCACGGTCTGGCCTACAATGCCAGAAAAACCGAATTTATGGTCTTTAAGGCCGCCGGTAAGTGTCCCAAATTTATACCTCCAATTTTCCTCGGTGGAGTGGAGCTGAACAGAGTTTTCTAATTTAAATACCTGGGCCACGTACTTACCGACGACCTTAGAGACGATTTAGACATAGAACGGGAGCGGAGGGCTTTGGCGGTCCGTGGTAACATGCTGGTACGTAGATTCGCTCGTTGTACGGACGAAGTCAAAATTACGCTTTTTAAAGCATTTTGTCAAAACACGTACACGAGCAGTCTGTGGATCAGCTACACCAAAGGATCGTTAAACACCCTTCGCGTCCAGTATAATAATATCTTCAGGATGATGTTGAAGCTTCCTGGTTTTTGTAGTGCATCTGAAATGTTTGCGCTGGCGAGAACGGATGGTTTTCAGGCACTCATGCGCAAGAAAGTGGCGTCATTAAGAAGCCGCGTACGGGGAAATGACAACAGCATCCTGAGGATGGTAGCAGATGATCCACACGCATCTATATTAAGGAGCTATGTGCGGACAATGTCCGGATTTGTTAATTATTTAAATTAAATTATTACTATAATATAGTACTACTAACCCCCTTACTATTAGAATTAATTACTAACCCCTATGGACCTATATTGTCTGAAAATAAAAAGATTTGATTTGATTTGATTATTTAGTTTACCACTATCATAGCAGAATTTAGGGCAACCAGACTTTATAGATAAGATTGGTCAATTCGGTTCTAAAACCGAATTAGGACATCCCGACTCCACGTAGTCTTGTCTGCTATACCCCTAGAGTGTTTTTGTAAAGTCCTAGGCATGGAGGGAGAGCAGCCCCTACTGTAGCAAATCGCAGGCACCTAAGTGAGCCTTAGCGGCTGAGGCTGGTCGCCGACTTTCGGCTTATTGGTCGCAATAAATCTATCCAAAACTAAATTTATGCAATTCTACAATGTTAAAAGTAAACCGCAATTACTTGATATTAAGTATAATGGTGAAAAAATTACTGCTACTGAATGTACCACATTTTTAGGTATTAGTTTAGACAAACATTGTAATTGGAAAAATCACATAGATAAAGTTTGTTCTAAAATATTTAAATTTAATTTTGCTCTGCGAAGGCTAACTTCAATCTCGTCAAGAAACACTTCTCTTATAGCATATCATGCGAATGTCGCTACTGTATTAAGATATGGTCTCATATTATGGGGAAACTCGACTGATGTAAACCGTGCTTTTATAGCGCAAAAACGCTGTATACGAGCAATTTGTGGTGTCGGGCCACTAGTTTCTTGCAAACCACTGTTTAAAGAATTGGG